ACGACCACAACGACCACAACGACCACAACGACCACAACGACCACAACAACCACTACCACAACGACCACAACGACCACAACCACCACAACCACCACTACCACAACCACAACGACCACCACGAACACAACCACAACGACCACCACTACCACAACCACAACGACCACCACTACCACAACCACAACGACCACCACGACCACAACCACAACGACCACGACAACCACAACCACAACCTCCACGACCACCACGACCACTACGACCACTACACTTGGACCACAGCAGGACTGAACGAATTTTCAAAAGGTCCCTTTGCAATATGGTTGTCCATACATTTTTCCCATTTATTCATGTTTGTATGTGACTTCGGCATGTGGGGTCGAGCGACCCAAACTGGGAGTGTGTTCTGGCCCATCGACGCCGCGCAGGAGGTGTTCTGGGAGTCCGGTGGCGACTTACCGGGTGTCGGCACGTGGTGGTTGAACGTAGGAAACTTGGGCAACTCGGCACGTGAAGATGTGTGAAGGACGGACGGAGTAGAAGCGACAGAAGTGACAGAAGGACATGTTGGTGAAAAAACAACGATAACACTTTTCTTAGACGGTCCAGTGTTAGCTGTTAGCCTGGTTAGCCTTCTTTGAGATTCAGTGACCATATGTGTGTCCAGTTCTTTTGCTTGCTTGGCTGACGCTTGTGCACTATTCCCACATGGGAATCGTCCTCGTAGCTTAGATGCCTCTTTCGAGTATTCCATCTTCTATGACGCAGAGGCCAGCGGTGAAACATACGCGGGCGTGGAGGGCGTGGAGGGCGTTTCACGCCGCGGCAGGATGCGACCATGGGTGAAATCCCCAGTCTCCCGGACGTGCTGGTCTTCCAGTCTTCCAAAAGGGTGTGTTTACTCTCGCCGACTGGGGCACGTGCCAGTCCAAGTGCAGGACCGAAAGGGAGAGCGAGGAAAGCGCAGGGTTGGCAGGGTTCGTTCGCACCTGGCATTCCCTAGAGACTTCCTTTCGAACATTTTAAAGACATGGTTGAGCCTGTGTGGTCGTGGTCCAATCCTTTGTCACATCAGCTTGCTGCTTCGGCGGACGCGGACGCGGAGCCTTCCCAATGGCACTCCAGCGGAGGTTGGAAACCCGAGGTTGGAACATGACCAATATGTGCAGAAAACATCCCCACCCTCTTGGCTGAGGAAAAGGGGGGGGACGTCAAAAAGTGTAAGTTACATTTTCTGGGGGGGTATTAAATGTATGTTACCACCCCCTTACGTGGTTTAAAGGGGGGTGAGATAAATGTATGTTACCCCCCCTCCCGCATGGATGGTGAATCATGGGATGAACAATCCCCAGGATTCCATGGGGAATACTCAGTCTGCGGATAGTGACTTTGGGGGGTGGGGGGGTGGTTTAATGTAACATAATACCTGGAACATGGCGGCTTACATTTTTTGACCCCCCCTATTGTCAGATGAGTCTGATGTTTTGTGGTGCTTGGCTCAGTGCGGCCCGATCGCCAGCGCGTCACGACCAAGATCCATCGGAGCCAACGCCATGCTTCAGTTGGAGTAGAGCAGTCCTTGGCAGTCCTTGGTGTTTAATCTTGACTTGCTTGATGTGAAGGAGAAATCATAGAATACAAAAATCCATGCACGACCTAGCGACCTTCATCCCACCTCCAGGTCACCACATATGACCCCCCCAAGAATACCCAGCGCTGGCAGGCAAGCAAAGTAAATGTAGGCTGGCATGCTTGAGGTCTTCCAAATACCATGAAAAAGGCCTTTTATGGCATACCTTTGGCCTTTGGAAGTTACATTTTGTATCCAAACATTTTCTATCCACCACCACATACCACCCCCCCAAAAATATCCAGCAGTGCTGGCAGGCAAGCTAAATGTAAGCTTGCGTGCGAATACCATGAAACATGCCTTTTGTGGTATCCCTTTCGCCTCTGGAAGTGGTGATCTTTGGGGCTCCGCTGCCAATTGGGGTAGCGGCCTTTCATGGCATTTGTCGCTGTGACCAAAAAGGATGAACAACGTGAAACTGCATGAATCTGCTTTGAGCTGCTGAGAATTCATGGGACATCATGAAGCTTTCATTTGATTGCTTTTGCTGAATCTTGCTGAGAGTTTTTGTGCCGATCATTATCAACGTCAAAAATGTAAACCTACAATATTGAAGCCTGAAATCACAAATGTAAGCCTACATTTTTAAGGCATTGTTTCGAAAATGTAGGCCTACATTTTTGACCCTGGACATATAGGCCGACCCCCCTAAAAAAATGTACAATTTTGAGGTCCCGCCCCATAATGGGTAAAATCAGAACACGACGAGTCAATCGTACGTGAAGGATCGGGGGTCTCTCTCGAGTCAATCACGGCGCCGGATTTTCCTTCCGCTGTGTCCTGCTGCATAGCTCGTATGCACCGCACCAAGCTCATTCTTCAATTCAAGCGAATTGAGGGTTATTTGTTGTTCGGAATTCAGCCGAAAAGCTTCTTTTTTGTAGTTGGAATCCCAGCTAGGGTATGGAGGGCTCCTGATATATGATGAAACGAAGGGTCAATGTCAAACTCAAAGCCCAATGGTTCATGTCTCCCTCCAAGGCACATCCTTCCATGTGCTTCATTTTGGGACCAGATTCAGGCTCTAAACATCGACATTTCCGACCCCAAACATTGCCTTTGAATTCGAGTCTTGACAATTAGGTTTGATGGGGACCAGGTCAAATGTGGCATCTGAGTCTCTCAGCACATGTTGGTCATGAAACATTCGGGACCCCCGGCTATTCGGGCGAGCCCGAATGCAGAAACCGCAGTTTTTGGGCTGACCCTCGGGCTGACCCTCGCCCGGACCCCCCTGTCCAAGCAGAAACCCTCCGTGTTTTGGGGGTTCGGGCGAGGGTTTCTGCTTGGACACCATGGTGGGGGGTTTCGGGCAGGGTCCGAGGGCATCGGATCCGGGGAAACTGGAGCCTCCAAAGCTCCCGGGCGCGGTGGGTTCCGGCCAGGTCTTCTCGACCTTCGGAGGCTTCCTGTGCACGGCCACGCCCACGTTCTATCAGCAAGTGCCGGTGGTGGCAGGGAGCTTCTCCTTTGACACAGAGGTGGACTTTAATGTCGGTTGCCAACTGGTGCCTCTTCCAGAGGATCCAATCGATTCTAGAGTGGAAGTGACTGGGAAGTTTTTTGTCGCTGATGCTTGCCCGCACCCTGTTTCTCGCCTTTTGCCGAAAGTGCATCCCACCGAAGCCGAAATCAGCACTTGACCCTTCTGCTTGCCAACCAGCCGATACGTTTCATATTCCTTTTTCCACGGTGAAAGCGCCAGAGAAATCTAACCTGATTGAATCCATTGTCTCAACGATTTACCAAGAAAGTCAACACACTAGCAGAGTGCACCGTCATCAATTGTCCCATCGGCCAATCAACCACTTACCAACCTGCGAAAACGTCCTACAACCATTCCCTACAGGTCAAAGACCTCATTTGACTGGACGTCGTCATACAAAAACACTACTTCAGGAGGTCAAAGACCAGGTTTTACTGGGTCAGACTGGACGAACGTAGGGCCTGGTTCTTTGATTGGGATCCGGACTCGTCTGGACTCCCTCCCCCAGCCCTGACGCCGCGGCTCCGGGATCTTCAGACACCTCCCAGACACCTCCCAGACACCTCCCAGACACCTCCCAGACACCTCCAGCCAGTGCCGATGCGCCCCCTTCAAAACCCGTGGCGAACCGAAGTTCCGGCACGTCGCAGTCGCTGGGTGGTTCCACCCACCTCCCAACCCTTCTGTTTTTTTTCTATGCGCTGCGCCGATGCGCCCGAGGACACCCTCGAGGTCTTCGCGAACACACTCGACACAGATCCGGCTTGGAGGATCACGCTCACTGGTTGGATGCTCGACGGATGGAACGGATCGGACGGATGGTGCGAAGAGATGGGCAGGTGGACCTTTGATCGACGGTGGGAGACAGGCCCATGGGGCCAAAGGGGTCGTTTCAGGGCCCGAAACACACGGCCCTTTGGAAGATTCCATGCTGCATCTCGTGTCACTCAAAACAACCCCTGTTCATGTTCTGACGTCTTTCCGGAGGACCACTTCGGACGGTATTGCCACTTCGTTCGCTTTCCTGGCAAGGTCTCGCTTTGTCGAGGCTTTTAGCTGGCAGCACTACAGTAATGCCTCCATCAAGGCTATGGTTTTTGGGTCTTTTTCTCTATGGGTTGAGAGTAGATTGTGCCCAATCCCCCAATGTCGGGTGGTTGGTTGTCTATGGATCCCCATCTACTCTCAAGACATCTTGGGGGTGCCCTGTGCCATCTACTCTCAATCCACTGTACAACTCGCCTAGTAGCCCGGCAACACAGCGGCCGTCCGTTTGGACGGCCTCTTTTTCAGCGGACCACCTGTGAACAGCAGGTGTGGGTTTGTAGCAAACCCGTTGGCATGAAGTGCTCTTCAAGCCATAAGTCAGCAAGTATTGCTCCAACCATTCTCTTGCTCGAGTTCCTTGATTGCAGCCCTTTGTGCCTTTCCAAGCATCTGTGAACAAGATAAGTTTTCACTTGATATTGAGAAGGCAGAGGACCTCAACGACGGCACTTTTCCACGTGGCTCTCCCTTCCTGAGCATTTGGATGTTGCAAGGCACAAAAGAAAGGTTTGTCTGGGGCTTCAGGTAGCTCCCTGCTCCCCACACCCAATCAGCGCAACCGTGGCTCATGAGCCTGGCTTCTGCTTGTTCAAGTGTGACCCATCGATCTCTGTGACATACTTGGACGCCGTGGCATTTCAAGTCTTGCCGAGGGTGCACTGCTGATGCAGGTTGCAGCAGGTTGCAGGTGTCTCTTCAAGACGCAGAAAACGCACGCCTGTCAGCCTGTCACAATCTTTCTGACCTTGTTGGCTGATTTGGAATGATTTGGGTGGTACAGACGCACATGAGGTCTTGCATGCAGGACTTTTAAGCAAGGTATCTCTGACGTCGGTGGCTCCGAACTCTTTCGTGTGACGGTCCCGGCGGGAAGAGTGGTCATATGTTCCACGGCCTGGGAAGCTTTAAATGATCAAACATGACTTTGCACCTCTCTCGCTCTCTCTCTCTCTCTCTTTCTCTCTTTATGCTGTCTTTTCAGGCTATGAATCCGACTTTCGAGTTTCGAGGGTTTGGTCGCACTCGGGTTGATGAAAGGTTGATGCGACAAGGTCGAGGGGTTTACTACTGTACACTGATTGTACGGTGGTTATTCCAGGTTCACCCAGCACTTCCGGTTCCCGGGCTGACCCTGCTTTGGGGATGACTAAGGGGTGCCATTACCCGGCGGCTTGCATACGCTGAGCCGGGCGTTGAGCGCGGTTCCCGGCGGTTGCAAAGCGTCTTTCGTGGCTTGGCAGTTGAGAGGGTCATTCAGGTCTTGCTGCATCTATGACCAGGGTTCTATTTTTCTATATGAAAAACCTTTTAATAAATATATCGGGTGGATTTGCCCTTCCATCCCCCTGAAAGGTCCTATGGTAGCCAAATTCCTTGACAGGTCAGTTCTCAGATGAGCGGTGCTTTGGGACTTCCTCACTGAAACCCAATTCTCGTCTCTCAGAAACGCCCTCCCAGAAGCATCGGTAGCCGATGCCACAAGCAGCCGATGCAGACGGCCTCTTCTTGGATCTTGGCCCCCCCCTGACACATCCCCATGAACAATCCTGAATTTGGAGATGGAAGACATGCTTTTTTGGTAACATAGAAGTTCCGCAAAAAACTGATATTGTTCCCTTCACACATAAATTATCATAAGTCCTTGATACAACTTTCGATCTTTGGACATCTTCTTCTCTGGTCTGGATTCTAACCGCCTGTCCTTGCTCCCAAAAAGGGCAGGTGGTGAATCCCCAGCTACAGCGCTTATGATTTTCAAGAAGCACCTACCAATATTGATGAAAATTCTGAAGTCTATAAACTACAACTACACATCTGGCAGCAGCGCCCTGCAGCGGCAGCTTGTGCCAGCACCCAAGGCACACACGGCCACACATCTGGCAGCGGCGCCCTGCAGCTTGCGCCAGCACCCAAGGCACACACGGCCACACATCTGGCAGCAGCGCACCTCTTCCCATACTGGAAGTAAGAACACAATAGCTCTCGCTATCTGGGGAAAACGCTTGCCGGACCAACCGGTGCCGAACTGGGGACGGAAGATGGCTTGGCTGAACGACCAGGAAGGATCGAGACCCTGGCGCTTCCTCTGTTAAAAGCTCGCCTTTTGAGACTGAAGTACCTTGTTGTGGCCTGCATGTGCCCAGACCAGTGGATCTCTTTTTGTGTGTGATGCAAGTGCTTCAACCATAAGCAGATGTGTTTTCGATTTCTTTATGTTTGCCTTTGCAAAAATGCTTTTACAGCAGTCAGTCGCTGTAGGGGCATAAAAAGACTCTTCGAACATCTGGAGAACCGCAGCCCAAACAGATAGGTAACCGGGTATGTCTGCGTGTGCGTGTGCGTGTGGGTGTGTCTGTGTGTGTGAAACCCTTGGAGTCATAGGGCTTCCGTTGAAGTAATGATTATTAGCAGGGGCACTGAGCACTCCTTGGCAAACTCAGTGCAACGAAGCTATGCCTTGGAGTGGGAATCACGGATTGATCACCCGTGTGTACATGCAGTTTTTACCGGGGCAATTCGCATTTAGTCCCTGCTTTAGCTAAAGCAAGAATTTCGGCATTGGCATGTGTATCAAAAAGAAATTAATTACTGAATCAAAAAATATTTATTTACGTAATCAACAACAAATTAATTATCTAATCAAAAAATAATTATTTTCCTTTCCCGTCTCTTGTATGCTTGCTCCTGGTCCACATGGTCGTCCTGGTCCCCTTGGTCCCCTGGTCCCCTTGGTCCCCTGGTCCCCTTGGTCCTCTGGTCCCCTTGGTCCCCTGGTCCCCTTGGTCCCTGGTCACCTCGTCGAAGGGAAGGGAAGGGAAGGGAAGGAAGAAAAGAAGGGATCCAGGTAGGAGGCCGGCGCCTCGTCTGTACACGCGAAAAGTGACTCATCTGTACACGCGAATGATATACCTCGTCTGTACACGGGGATGCGCTGCTTCAAACTCACTCTCGCTCTCACTCTCACTCACTC